TTACTGTGATTCTTTCAGGGGGATTAAAAAAAAAAAGATAATATAAAAAATTACTGTTGCCTGGTTACTTGGCTCTGAAGAGAAATGGAAAAATAATGCCCATGTTCCAGTTTAAATGAATTCAGGTAGAGAAGCCATGACAGCAATCCCTCAGCAAACATACTGTCACATTTGGCTTTTGAAATGTCAATATAGATTCTAGAACCCTAGACCTGGTGAGGACCTTTAGAGATCATTTGATGCTTCATATAGAGAGGATGACATTTAAACCATCCCAAACAGCACAGAATCTCCCCAGGACCATCAGAGAAGAAAATGTTATCTGTGATAATCCCTGGATTTATTTTCTATTTGCAGATAACCACTTCTCCCTATTTCAAATTTTAGCCAGGCCTAAAGTAAAATCTTTCAAAATGCTCTATTCTGCGAGCCCCTTTCCTCTTCTTTGGTCTCTGAGGAGCTAGACTATCTAGCTGACCATGATGCAACCTTTTTTTTTGGCTGTGCCATGAGACAGGTGGGATCTTAGTTCCCTGACCAGGGATCGAACCCGGGCCCCCTGCAGTGGAAGTGTGGAGTCTTAACCACTGGACCACCAGGGAAAACCCACAACTTAAAAAAAAAAATTGAAGTATAGTTGATGGACAATATTATACGTTACATGTGCACAATATAGTGATGCACAGTTTTTAAAGGTTATGCTCCATTTATGGCTATTTTAAAATATTGGCTATATTCCCTGTGTTGTACAATCATGCAAGTTTTATAAAAGTGAAGTTGCTAAACTCCCCTGCTGCCTTTTCTGGGGTCAACCCATGAGATTTAGTTTTTAACTACTTTTTTTCTTTTGGTTTTAACATTTTTTCTTTCTAGCCTCTACAAGTCTTTATTTTTTTTTTTAAATTGGAGCCCAGAAGTGGGCAATTAATTTCAACAGGGCCAAACTGGCTAATTTTCTACCTGTCTACTGCATTGCTGGGAAGTACGAATTCTTAATACTGCGTTTGCTGAATTGCAGTGTTGTTCCCTTCTTCCTCTATGTGCTATCCTACCTGTAATCTTATTCCATGTTATCACATCTGTTTGATTTCCCACTTAGTTACCTGTGTTTTTTCTAGCCTGTTTTTCCAGATGACTGAAAATAAGTTATTTTTGAACACTTATGCACTGTGCTAACCCCTTCACATGCGTTTCATTTCACAATGCGTTTTCATTTCATCCACTCAACCCATTTTATAGATGAAGAAACTGAGGCTCAGACAGGTTAAAGAATTTATTCAAGACCATACATCTAAGAAGTGGTAGAGAAGGGATTTGAATCTTGGCAGTCTAACTCTAGAAACTACATTCTTAATTTACCTATTCAATTGTAAATCCATAGTATTTGTGTTGGGCTCTCCAACCAACAGAGAAAGTTTGGGAGCACCAATGAAAACCCTGAGAAAGCATGGGCTAGGGTTGCCAGATTTAGCAAGTAAAAATACAGTTGACCCTTGAAGAATGCAGGTGTTAGAGGCACTGACCCCGGCTAGCATCGACGAAAATCTGCCTATAACTTTATAGCAGGCCCTCGTATCTGTGGCTCTGCATCTGCGAAGGCAACCAACCGCAGATTGAATAGTCCTGTAGTACGTGTTTATTGAAAAAAATCCGTGTAAAAGTGGACCCGTGTTGTTCAAGGGTCAACTGTTCAGGATGCTCAGTTAAATGCGAATTTCATATCAACAACGAATACTTTTTTAGTATGTCTCATGCAATATTTGGGACATACTTATACTAAAAATTATTTGTTATTTATATGAAAATCACATTTAACTGGGCATCCTGTATTTTATTCGGCAACTCTAGGCTGGGCAGATTTCCCAGACAGAGACTGCGACTTTCTTACCGAATTGATATCAAAATAAATTTTGGGTCAGTTGAAAGTACCTCTGCTCTTATGGAGCAGAATTGCAGCAGTTTATGGAGTATTTTACGATAAATCTCCGTAGCACCTATGAAGAATTATGCCATTTTCACAAATAAGCTGTTTATTATTTCTACATTCATAATGGGGATATTAATCTGAATATATTTTGGGGGCTCGACTTAACTCACTAGGCAGAAATGTTTTATCTCTTTCTATCACCTAATCTAAATATTAGCTATTGCTAAATTTCACTGTAATAAAAAAAAAATACAAAGACTCATTTTATTTAGCAAGACTGAAAATAAAACTAAGACATCAAGTCACACCTTTAGAGTTGTCCAAAACAGTTCTTCCATCTATCAGCCCAAGGCAATTAATCCAGCATATCATTTGTAGAGTGATTAACATAACAACAATCATTTCTCAGTTACAAAGGGGGTCATTCAGTCCTGGGGCCCTTTGCAAGTAGAATTAATTTTGACTATTCAATCACCAGCTTGCACAAAAGCAGAAATAGAGAGGAACGGAAATACAAACACAAAACGATTGGCTATTACCTCTTTTAAAAGGAAACACCAGAAATAGTGGCTAGAACCCTACTGAATAGAGCTAAAGAAGCAGTGGTTAAATCCACAGAGGCAGAGTGACCACTAGTCAGGATACAACTTATCCTCGATCAAACTTAAACAGGTAGTCAGTAAATATGAAGGTCTTACTTTCACTGTTTATAAATGGTGAAGTTATCTGTGTTGAAAGATAGAGACCCATAGAAACTGCAACAGATCATTTATAAAACATCTACTTTTTTCGGATCAATACAGTTGGCCCTTTGTATCTGTGGATGTGGAACCCGCAGATACAGAGGCAGCTGTACTAGGCCGTTTTATATAAGGGACTTGAGCATCCACGGATTTTGGTATGGGGTTGGGGGGAGTGTCCTGGAACCAGTCCCCTGCAGATGCCGAGGGATGACTATATTGTTAAAATTCTTTCAGTGATTTTTTTTCCTCTCTCAACTTAATATGATCGCAGATCCCTCCGAATTTATTTTAGTCATATAAAAATTAACAAACTGTGGCTTCCTTTCAAATATTCTGTCCTGATATTAAAAAAGTGATTAAAAACAGTACTGAATATAGATCACTTCTGCAAAGTTTAATAAGTGAGAAACATTCAACCAAGGTGATTTTTCCTTGGAAAGTCCTACAAAAACTGACTTTTATAAACAGTTCCTTATTTTGATAGAGGTTCCATTTATCAATAGCAGCCATGACTTTACTGCCTACAAAATTGCAGGTTGTCACAGTTTACATGTTTAGAATTCAAATGTTTTCAGGTTTTCTAGTAAGTGTTACAGAAACGAAGTCACACAGACAGACCGGTTAGTTGTCCCAAGCTAAGAAAACAGCCCATTTCCATGGCTTTCCTATTCAGGCAGGTACAGACAACACTGGAGTTAAACGAATGGGTACTACAACAGTTATATTTTTTGCTTAAAGAAGAAGTGACATTGACATTGAAGGGGGGCAGGTATAGCAGGACTTCACCGAGGCTCCTTTGTGATCTAGTGCAAGGGACAAGCCATCACAGGATGCTAGTATTAGAGAGAAGTTCCGGTTAAGAATCTGAGCAAGCTTGCTATTCAGAGAGGCTGAGATGTCCTTGCTGCGTATTCCACTGGAGAGTAGTGTTTTCTGAGGCTTAGGCAGCCGGTCTCAGAGCAGAGGAGCAGACAAATATGTAAATCAGGGACGCTGGATGTGACATGGTACTCCTAACAAGTGATTAATGGCACTGAAGTGGGAGGAGGGTGAGTGTATCTTAATGATGGATACCTTATGTTGGTCTTAGACTAACTGCCTTCTGCAAGGCCTTCTGAGCACATTAAAATCCATCACTCCCAGGAACATTTGGCTGCCTGCACAAAGTGTGACCAGGAATGGTGGTTTGAGAATTCTAAGTCCCACAAATTAGAACAGAGAAGGGCAACATTTAAATTAAGAGGGGTTAACCCTTTGTGTATCCCTAGGCCGGCTGAATGCTCCCCCAACTCCCGAAGAGCCTGGTGCTACTTAGAAGCAAGGTAGCCCGACTTCTGGGGCCATTTGATTAATCAGAAGTCTGGGCGTGGGATCAAAAATGAGATGGAAATCTGTGCCAGAAAGTATCATTTGTAGTTTCACTGAGAAAAGAGGGGTACAGTGGGAGTTCTTCTTGGAGGGGGGCAGCTAATAACAAATCCTCAGCCAGGGCTTGTCGTGGACGATACCAACAGGCTTGCAAGTTCACTCCAGACAGCTGCCCTCCATTTAGCGACCTGGTACACACTCCTGCCCCCAACTCCAACTTCAGGACACAAGAAAACCTTTTTTTTCATGTTTGATTTCCCCCCATCCAAATCTCCCAATTAGTAATGAAAAAACATTTGAGTGGATTCTGATGCAGTCCTTCTGACCCAGGGACTAGGGCATGAACTCGTACCCACACAGCTGTCTCTGGAGATTTAACACTCGGTGTGACCCCTGGAGCCCTGGATTTAAAGACACCGGCCACTTAGCGAACGGGCTCCCCCTTATCACTACATCAGACAGACCCCAGCACAAGTCACAGGCACTGAGACTGGGGAATCTTTTGGACGAGCCCTTCTTCCTCCCCCAGAGGAGGTCTTCAACCGTAGGATCCCCAGAGCAATGAAAAGACACTTGATCTCAAGGAACGCACACAGTTTGCCCAGCAGGTACCACAGTGGCTAACAGATAGCATGGTCCCACTTCAGCAGCTTTGAAGACACCTGAGTTCTTCATTCCTGTCTTCTTGATGCTGAGTGGAACCAACAAACAGGTTAAGAGGAGGAAAAAACCAAATCACAGAATAGGTGAAAAGTTTTAAAAAGAATTGTGTGGTGGCAGCCAAACCCTGACCCTGGAAATGTGGTCGGAAGCCACCACGCTTTCAGCCCTGGGGCAAGGAGGGTGGTGTGTAGAAAAGCCTGCAAAACCTATAGCACCAGCTCTTCCTTACCAGGGCTCCAGAGAGCGGGCCTCGGCAGTCACCCACGGGCTCACGGCCAGGAGCGCCGGGAAAGCCAACATCCACCGCAGCCGTTTCTCCACAGCTCTGCTGGCAAACTTACAAGCACATATTTGCTCGGTAGCTGGGCCTCACCCACGGGCATCTCCCACCTTGGAGGCACGATGAGAACACTGGACTGCCTTTCCCCAAATAAGGGCAGTCCGATTGGAGGCGACACCCTGCATTTCTCCCACTCCTTATTAATAGCATCCCTAATTAAGCCAGCTTCAAAAGGGCAAAAATCAGTGCCTGCAGGTCAAAGGTCTAGCCCATGGTTTCCAAATCTTAACAGAAGTCACGTAACCTACTTACCTGAAGAAAACCCCAATTCATCAGTCCCTGCCCCCGCTTCCCAGGAAGGGGAATAGGTTTAAGTCCGTTTCTTCTTTTTTCACCACAGTACGTGGAAGAGAGTCAAAGAAGGTAGTGTGGAAGGGAGGGCTGGTTCATCATTAAAAAATAAAGATCTCTTTGAGGGTCATGTGCGGCCGGGGGCAGAAACATTCAGTTCTCCTCGGCGTCTGCCTCCGAGGGCTCCTCTTCCACGCCAAAGCTCGGCTTGTCAGCTAGCGCCTCCAAGTGCTTGCCCAGGCTGCCCGCGGAGTCCACGAACATGTCAGGGATGTCTTTGCCAAAGTAAATCTTGCTGTTGGAAGCGATCGCCTTGTACTTCATCAGCTGCAAATACTCAGGGGTCAGCTTCAGCTGGAAGAAAAATGAGGAAGACTCTGGTGGGGCCAGATTAGGGAAAAGTCTGGGCGGCATCCCTTTACTTTCGCGAGGAGAGGGTCTCCGTGAGAACCACGCCCCCTGCGCCTCTTCCTGGTCTCAATGTTACATTAGCAACTGCAAAACCCCTTCTCTGGGAGAGAGTAATCTCAGGTCCTCAAGGTGAGAACTGCGAGAGTTTCAGGAGTTTCTCTGTTTACCAGCAAAATCAAACTTCTCTCAGGGTCCAGCTAAGGGAAAGGGAAGGCGCTGGCCCGCATGGCCCAGGAGTCCTCGCTCGCGACCACGAGGGGCTGTGGCAGGCGCCGTGTTCTTACAACCACCCGGCAACTCTCAAGCCGGGCACACGCCCTCTGGCGGCCAGGCGGCGCTGGGCCTTTACCTTATTTGCTTCGGCTATTTTCATGGCAGTGTAGCACTCGGCATCCGCCCTGGCCTTCTCCCGGGCCAGAAACGCAGCATCTTAAGAGAAGAACGCAGTGAAGTGAAGCGCAGAGGCTATCAGAAGGCTAGTCCCCGCAACTTTCCCCGACTGCCTCCGTGACCCTGGGCACACTGCTCTGGCTTCTCTGTGCTCTGATTTCCTCATTTATGAAACTGGGGAAAAGGCATTTTTCTCCTGTTTCACAAGTGGTTGTGAAAATCGACCAAGATGCAAGAGTGCTCTGACAGCATCTCCTGGTGGTGGGGCCTAGCTAACTCTGAGCAAGTCTGCCGCTGTGCCCGTTTCTGACAGCATCGTGGAGACACGTCCTCTTTCTAGCCGCTTACTCCTTCTGTGGCCTGTGAGGAGAGGGACGGGACCCGCCTCAACCTCCAGTCTCCGAGCTCTCCACCCCAGCGCTCTCCCCTCCTATTACACAGCAAGACCAAGGGAAGCCCGAAGAAGGCTCTGGATATGGCCCGAGGTGGATCTGCCCTGAAACCGACTACCATAAACAAAACAGTTCAGCCCCTCTCCAACTTCAGCTCCCTTTTCATTTCCATCAGTCATTTCAGAAAGGCTCTAATTAGCAGTGCTTAAGCTGGCACAACTTGAAGGGCATGACGTGCCACGGTCCAGACTAACACCTGTTTGGACTAAGACACATTTAAACTTCTACTTTGCAATCTGCTTCCTTAATCTGCTCAGACCAGATTTTGGTCAAGCTGATGCAAAATTTTTGATATTTACTCCCTGGCCTTGGGAATGAGGCCAGCCTTGCATGAGCAACAGCTGTAGCAAAAGCCTGGGAAGCAAGGGGGGACTCGGGGTGGGTTCTTACTGCACAGCCTCAGCAAGGCCCTGGGTGGTGGAAGCCTGCAGGCTGGCTGGGGTGCATGCGGCCAACTCGACTGGCCTTAGCGCCTCGTGACCTGCGTTTATAATAAAAATGTGCTGTTCGGCTAAGAGCTCCCCAGTGAGGAGCCACTGATCCGTAAAAGCCTAACTGGCTCCTCCATGGGCACCTGCAAAGCCCGAGAGGCCCCATCGTGAGTACAACTGGACACAGCACTGTGCAGCCTGAAGCTGGGCCCTGAGGTCTTGTTCTTGGCCTAGAATTTGCTTGATATGAAGGCACCACACGGAGGAGAAGGTGGGTGGTGGGAATGAGGTGAGAGCTGAGGGGCAGGGGACTGAAGGTGAGTGAGATTCAGAGAAGCTGGCAAAGACAACACCTCTCTCCAGCTCGTGGTGTCGGTACTGAAAGGTGTCTTCTTCACACCCAGCTTAACATCCACAAGGACCCTGAGAGGCCAAAACGACGGTGTTCACCGGCTTCTGAGGCGGGGGGGCCGGGTAAGGCAGGAGGGAGCGAGCTGCTGTCTGGACGTAGCTTCTTGGTTTACTTCCAATGCCAGACTGTGAGCCCAAGACAGCAGGGACCACGTGATTTCCCTTTTTCTTAAGCCTGGTAGAAGAGTCCTGATGGCACCCAACTAAAATCTGATGAATGACTGAATCTCTCTGAAGTGGAAAATTAATGCCTGCCTGGACCGAATCTCCCCAAAACTCAAGTCAGAGCACAGAGAACAAGGGATGTTCCAAAGAAATCATAACATCTGAGCACAGAGATTACAGAGCAAAGGAAATGACTCTCCCTGCCGCCCGGCCACAGAGCGGAGTCTGAGGAAAAGGCAGGCAGGAATCTCTCTCTCGCTTACCTTCGATTTCCGAAATTCTCTTCTCTGTCTCCTTCTCCATCACCTTCTGCCCATAGGTGATTTCTGCCACCTGAGCCACTTTCTCTGCCTCTGTATTAATGAAGTTGAGAAAGGCTTAGAGTTCTGATATTCCCAGAGTTTGACTGCATTGCACCTTTCACCTGATCTGAGGCCCTTATGCAGGGCAGCGGGTGGGCTCAGGTGAAGGGCCACTGGCCCAGAGGCAGCCACGGCCGGCTCCCTCTCCCAAGTCACAGGATATTTCTCCCAAAGGAATGTTTTAAGGGTTGAGGTACAGGTCTCCTCCTGCCACTGCACTTTAGGAAGCGGCCAGGGCTGTGGCTGGTCTAGGTGCAGTGGTGAAGAAGTGGGGTTCAGGGGCAGAGTCCCTGGACTTGAACCCCGTTCCCATCACTTCTCTGCCACGTGGCCGTGGGCAGTCATCTAGCCTCCGTGTGCTTCAGCTCAGTGAGAGGAGGTTAAGGATGGTGCCTTCCTCACCCGGCAGGGGCGGGTGTGTGAGGAGCAAGATGATTCACCCGCGAGTGTTTAGAAAAGCCCACGGCTCATAGTAAGGGCCCCATCGGTGTTATTATTATTGTGAATGAGGAATTAACTGGAAGGGCTCCTTCCATTTAAGAGATGTGTGGAAACTCAGAACTCATGATCCCTGGCTGTGATCTGACAATTTCAGCTCTGTTTCCGGGGGATGCAGGCCGACCCCGGGTGTGGCAGGGCTTCGGAGGACCGTGCCCCAGGCTTCCTGAATCTCTCCACCCTCTCCAGCCCGTCTGCTCTGAAAGGGGACCCCAGAAGCACAGTCAGACCAATGAGGGCCTTCTTGCGCTCTGTCTCGGCTTCCTTCTCCACCACCTTCTGCTTCTGGGCAGCAATCAGAAGCTTCGTCTTCTCACTTTCCCTGAAGGGAGAAAAATGCACAGCTGTGAGGCCGCTGGGGACCAGCTTCTGCGGAGCTTCACTGTGCCCTGGAGAAGACAAGCTGCCCCTGCCCCGGGGGACGCAAGCTGTCATTCCTTCCTCTCTCCTGGCAGGCTCTTTAATGTCCCAGGTGAAAGCGGCTCTGCTGCAGGCAGTAACATGGCTTGCCTTCTCCAAAACTCATTGGTAGGAAATAAAGCATAACTGACTTCAGTAAAAGGTACCTGCCTGCCCACGCAATCGCCGCTCCCCGTTTTCTTCGGCACGAGCCGTGAAATGCCACACGCCTCCCCCCGCCCCCTCCTCGGCCCTCTGAAGAGCATCCGTGCTCTGTCGTTGTGGAGCCCAGGTGAGCGTCCTGACATGCCTGCCCCATCTTCCAGGGTGGTTCGCTGTAACAAATACTCAAGAGGGGATGCCTGGCCCAGCGTCGATCAACCCCGGGATGGGATGAACGAGAGGCAGGGGAGAGCAGTGGTTACAGCTGGGACACCGGGCACACTCACATCAGCTCGTAGTTCCTGCGGATGGCTTCAGGTATGTTGGGCTTTGTCACCCGCACAGCCTGGAGAGGGATAAAAACAGCACCTGATGGGGAGGTGAGGGGCTGAGGGACCAGCTCCCACCAGTCCTTGATCTTCCTGCACAGACAGGACGTCCTCTGGAAGAGGGGATGCACCTTCCTCGGGGGTCAGGGGGCGGTGGCAGGGCTCCCACCAGGGCGGTGCTTACTTGGATGATGAGCCCGGGGGCCATGGAGGTCAGGTCCTGTTGCAAAGCCAGTTTGAGATTTTCATCAATCTGATCTGGAATCAAGACAGATAGAAAAAGGAGCTGTTACACTTTTCAGGCGTGGAGGAGGGAAGTACAGGGGTAGAGTGCAAGGCAAGACACCGGCTCAAGAATGCACCTGACAGGCAAAAGGTCTTCCCAAGGCAGAGCCCGGATGTCTAAAGACGCCCTGCAAGACTCTCACAGCGGGGTGCCCGCTCGGTCCGCTATGTGAGCCAGACGTGAGCGTGTCCTTTCCCTGGGGCCTCAAGAAAATATCCGCCTCGCCCAGAAGGGAGCTAAGCTTTAAAACGACAAACAACAACTCTAGCACATTTTTTGAGTCAGGCAGCAGCCTTTCCCTAGAAACAGCAGCAACAGAAGGTGGCCGCCTGGCTTTCACGAAGAAGGAAGGTGGAATGGCCAAGTTAGGTATTTTGAAAAAGCCAAGCACATTAAATCTAGTAATTTTAGAGGTTTCTAAAAGAAAAACAGACTCTGATGTCAAGGAAAGCCCCAAGGAAGACTAATTCCATTAGGAACTCCATGAAATAACACAAGGAGAAAAACGATAATTCACAGTTCTGGAAACGAGCCCAAGTGGTTTGATGTGTTGTTTGCTTTGGTCCTGATTCTCTGTCTGAAACATGACACGTGAGTCACTTCACGGACAAGGGTTGGAAGAGCTGTAACCGATTGTCCCTCTTAGCTGTGACCCTAGAACAGCGGCCCCCAGGCTGCCTGCTCTGACCTGGGCCTTCCCTTCCCTGCCCCCCGCCCGTGAGATCCTCAGTAAGATCCTGGAAGAGCTCTGAGAAAAGGACCCACGAAACCAGGCTGGGACGTCTACACGGAACCACCTCCCTACTGTCAGCTGCCATCTGCTTTAAGTGGCCATTTGTGATCCAGGAGCCTTTGAGGAACAGTAAGTCTAACTCCTTGCCTGTTATAGATGCTCAAACTGAGGCCCACAGAGGTTCCGTGATGTGCTCAAGCTAGTCAGGACCCAAAATAAAGAACTTGTTTAATTATTATGCTTTGGTTGTTAGGGTTGAGAACAGTACTTTCTTCACCTGTCGTATCGCTAAGCAAGGGGTTTTAATACTTCTATATATCAGATACATTTCCACCAGCCTCTCAGCACTGAGGGAGAAATGCCCATAAGGGCAGCACCTCACACCTGACATGGGTCTAACAATGTGACGGCTAGAGATAAACATTCCATTCCACATTTTCTATTTTAAATAGGAGACCAACCAAACTTTAAGGGAGATGGCCTATACCTTCCATAAGTTAGTAACACAGTTGTTTATCAGATTAAATTCTATCTGAGTCAAGGCAGAAAATTGTGACCCTGGGCTAGTAACTTTCTAGGAAAATCTGGAAGAAATATTTTGCATGGTGGTTTACTACCAAAGTAAGTACTAAGTTGTTTATAGGTGATGGTTATGCTGACAGATGCGGATTAAGTTATGTTATTACGTGAACACAAAGAGGGTCTTCAGACAAACTTCTTAACAAGTACTGGATAACATTTTAATAAAACAGGCAAAGAGGATGCATCAGAGCAAGCAGTGATAAAAACTGCAGTCAAGCTGAAAGTCAGGGCTATGCGTCCTGAGAGGAGAGGACCAGAGAAAAACTTTCCAACTTCAAGGAACAGGATTAGAGACTTGAGTTTCTCCTTTGCAGATGCAAATAGATTCTAAACAAAACAGTGCTTGCTGGCAAGAATGATGTTAAAAAGAAAGATATTTCAAAGCAAACACACTTCCCTAGCTTCTCTGTACAAGAAGTTTTACTTTACTAGGTTGCCAAGTTCATCTGCAAGATAGTGAAAGTTCTCTAATGCAGAACAATTTCACATTTTAATTCCCTCTACAGGGAAGTTAGAGCTCTTCTGTCTTCTGTTGTTTCAAATGCTTTGAAACCTTTATTTAACGGCACAAATTCTAAAACAATGGCTAGAGAGAAAACTAAGATATTTTATGAAATTATATCAGTTTGAGGTTAAAAAAAAATCAACAGCAGATTTACTGAATTGTTCTTAACAGCACACTGAATCCAAACCCCACAAGAGAATCCAAAGCCTATAAAGTGAATTTAGATTCATTTTCTTCTGCAGAAAAGTCAAAAGTGCTTCTGATGATTTCCCAAATCTGAAACACAGTGCCAAAGGCTGTTTGCTTAATTAAGACCACAGGTGTCGCCGACGATTCCGCCTCTGTCTACTCTACAGAACGTTCTCACTCAGGGTCCTTTTAATGAAGATTCCTGGGAAAAATCACTGTCCAGTCCTGATGTCAAGAATAGCTGTTACCACTGATTGCAAAGTTCATTTGCTTTTATTTTTTTTAATACATTTATTTGTTTTATTTTTGGCTGTGTTGGGTCTTCGTTGCTGCGCGCGGGCTTTCTCTAGTTGCGGCGAGCAGGGGCTACTTGTTTTTGTTTTTGTTTTTTTTTTGCAATACACGGGCCTGTCACTGTTGTGGCCTCTCCCGTTGTGGAGCACAGGCTCCGGACGCGCAGGCTCAGCGGCCATGGCTCACGGGCCCGGCGGCTCCGCGGCATGTGGGATCTTCCCGGACCGGGGCACGAACCCATGTCCCCTGCATTGGCAGGCAGACTCTCAACCACTGCGCCACCAGGGAAGCCCGGGGCTACTCTTTGTTGTGGTGCGTGGGCTTCTCATTGTGGTGGCTTCTCTTGTTGCAGAGCACGGGCTCTGGGTGCGCGGGCTTCAGTAGCTGCGACGTGTGCGCCCAGTAGCTGTGGCTCGTGGGCTCTAGAGCGCAGGCTCAGTAGTTGTGGAGCACCGGCTTAGTTGCTCCACGGCATGTGGGATCTTCCTGGCCCAGGGCTCAAACCCACGTCCCCTGCATTGGCAGGCAGATTCTTAACCACTGCACCACCAGGGAAGTCCTGTGTGGGTCCTTTCTGTTCTAAGCGTTTCCCTATTCCTCTCTACAGGTGTAGGGTAAAAACAACAACAACCAAAACTCACAGAGGTTCTAGGAACTGTAAGTAGCTATGGTCCTTGTCCCACTTCTAGAATTAAATGTGACCCTTGCTGTTCTCATCACTCGGTCCTGGTGCCCTTCATCCAGGGTGGCATGGATGAAGCCCGAAGCCAGGGAAGGGAGGTCTGAGCTTCAGCTCTGCTACCAGCCAGCTCTGGCACTTTCTCCTTTTGGGCCTTAGTACCCTTATCTTGAAAGGAGGATGCTGGGTAATCTCTAAGCTTCTTCTAGAACTGACCCCTCTTCATTACAAAACCATGTTTAGGGACAGTGGGAACACATTTCCATCCCAGGCCTCTGATTCAGGGCAGGAGCGAGTCCTCCCATCCACTATTACTGCTGTGCCCACCGCTCAACCCCTCTCACGAGCTTCCTCCACCGGCATCAGCGCTTCCCAGGAGTGCCCTGTGTGACCGCCCGCTTTCCGGGCGCTGGATCCTCAACACTTCCGGGCCTTTGGTACCCATCCCGCCCTGTGGGCAGCTCAGAAGTAGGCAGCGGGGAAGCAGGGCTGCTTGGGCAGGTGATCATCCCAAGAGGCTTTCTTACCGAAGAGCTCGATGTAGACCTCCTGAAGCGTGTGGACACTGCAAAACTGGTTCAGCTCGTGATGGATCTTGTTGAAGATGAGCGCCTTGTCGTAGTCGGCAGTGTAGTTCTTCACTATGTCATACACTGGGAGGAAGGAGAGATTCAGGATGAGGACGGGCGGGACTCGCCACATCCCCGGACACAGCGGCTGTCCCTCCCCGGGGCGCTGCAGCAGACACGGGGCAGGCGTGGGGCCGGTGGGGGGGCGGCGGGAGTGGGCCGCGGGGG